TTTGTAATGTTTCTGTGCTAATTTATCATTCTGGTTTTAGGAAGTTGTCAGCCCTGTCCAAGAGTTAGTAGACAAAGGTGTGTCTGTGGCAAAAAAGTAGCTGAAAGAAGTTGTGCAAGTCCACTGTGGCACTGTGATCAAGTAAGTAGGTGTATGTGCATTTTGAGGGATGGCTATTAAAGAACTTGTAAAGTATGAACACGTGTAAAGCAGAAATGCTAATTAGGTTTAGTTCGATAAAAGGTGAGGAAGAATAGCAATTCGGATGAATTATATCATGTTTCAGGAAATTACTTCATAGTTTAATAACATTTTAATTACTGGAGGAAAATATTTTTCAAAGTAATAGCTATTTGTTGAATTTTGTATTCATTACATTCGTACATACTTTCTTGGCAGCACTTTTCCTTTTCCTCTGTTTCTCCTCTTCAACCAACACTGCTTCCCTCTTTTTGATTCAGGACACTTGAGGAAGTAAGATTGATTTTCAAAGGTTGCTTGCCCTAGAATTGGCATGGTTATACTGCTACCTGAAAATCTTTGGCGGATGGCAGTATGAAGCTGTGTGTACTTTGTTCTTGTATTATATTTTTTAAAATATACTCCTTGGTGTGTAGGAATTATATGTATGTGTATACACATGCATGTATGTATGTGTATATCCGTATGCATATGTGTATGTGACACCTAGGTAAGATATAAAGTATAATAATATGGGGAACATAAAGAAATTGTTTATTTGTGATCGAAAAGTGAGTATGTCTTGTATAAAGTTTTTTTTGTTAATTTTCGAATCCTTCACTAGTGCTTTTTGCATTTATTTTAGGTATGTGGAAAAACACTGCCATGTCGTAATCATACATGTGAGCAAGTTTGCCATGTTGGTGCTTGTGGAGAATGTCCTCGATCTGGGAAAAGGTTCTGTCCATGTCAGAAGTCAAGTAAGACTTTTTTTTTTTTGAAAGGAAATGAACTATCAAGCCATGAAAAGACATTCAAAAGGCATCCTTCAGGACATTTAAATGCATGTTTCTAAATGAAAGAAGCCAATCTGAAAAGGCTGCATATTATATATGGAACTTCAACTATCTGACATTCTGGAAAAGTCAAAACTATGGAGACAGTAAAAAGATCAGTGGTTGCCAGGGGTTGAGGAGAGGGAGAGATGAATAGGCAAAACACGGAAGATTTTTTAGGGCAGTGGAACTCCTTTGGATGATAGTACAGTGGTAGATACATGTCATTATGCACTTGTCCAAATCCATAAAATGTACAACACCAAGAGCGCACTCTAATGTAAACTAATCTTTTGAGTGGTTATGATGTGTCAGTGTAAGTTCATTAGTTGTAACAAATGTACCCCTCTGGTGGGGGTTGCCGATAATGAGGGAGGCTGTGCTATTGTCACTATTGCGTTACAGGTTATAGGTGAATTTATTTTTGCCTACTTTTAGATAAAAGCATAGTAGGATTGCAGTTTAAGTTGGCTTCCTTGAGTCTCCACAAATAACTGCATCATATGTATAAGATTATGTCTAATACATGTCACAATGTGTTTATATTAAATAGTTTTAAAATATTTTAAATTCTACATCTTTTTGTACTATGAGGTTGTTAAGAGCAGATTTTCGAACAAATCTATGTATTATAGAAATTCTTCATAGAGATTTATGTAGTCTTACTCATTTCTTTAGATGACTGTTTCTGAAGTAGATAGCCCATAAAAATGTGTTTCTTGAGGATGGTAACTTGTCATGTCTCAAATTTCTTTTCTTCTTTTTCTTTTAAAAATTTTTTTTTTGAGACAGGGTCTTGCTTTGTTGCCCAGGTTGGAGTGCAGTGGCACAATCACAGCTCACTGCAACCTCAGACTCCTGGGTTCAAGTGATCCTTTCGTCTCAGCCTCCTGCGTAGCGGAACTACAGGCATACACCACCACACCTGGCTAATTTTTCTTTTTTTTTTGTAGAGACGGAGGTCTCACTATGTTGCTCAGGCTGTTCTTGAACTCCTGGCCTCAAGCGATCCTCTTGCCTCAGCTTGAGCCCTCCATGCTTTTCTTTTTAAAAAGCATAAACTTAACAAATGTTAGGGGTTATTTTCATTAAAGTTAATTTTTTTCAATAATTGTATAGATGTAAAAATTCATTGACAGGGCTGTTGTTCTTCAGGGAGCCTGAAGAATGTGGTACTTTGTTAGTGCTTAATAATGTGTCCTATTATTAACGGTGACTTTTTGTCTGTTTTTAGAGTTTTCTTTGCCTTGTACAGAAGATGTACCAACTTGTGGAGACAGTTGTGACAAAGTACTTGAATGTGGAATCCATAGATGTTCTCAGCGTTGTCACCGAGGTCCTTGTGAAACTTGTAGACAAGTTAGTCATCTTCTATAATAATTACTTCTGGGCTACCTATCATAGCATATCAGATGATATTGTCCTGTGATTATTTTCTATTACTTACATTCATATACATCCAGGTTTTTATTTGTATGAGTTAACTGACCTAATATTTATGGTAAGAAGCAGGAGAATACAGGCATGCCACTTTTTATTGTGTCTCGCTTTATTGCGCTTCACAGACATTGTGTTTTTTACAAATTTAAAGTTTGTGGCAACTGTGTTGAGCAAGTCTTTCAGTGCCATTTATCCAACAGCATGTGCTTCCTTCTTGTCTCTTCGTCACATTTTGGTAAATCTTGCAATGTTTAAAACTTTTTCGTTATTATTATACCTGTTCTGGTATTCTGTGATCCGTAATCTTTGACGTTACCATTGTAATTGTTTTGGGGTGCCATAAACCATGCCCATATAAGACAGTGAAATTAATAAATGTTGTGTGTGGTCTGAGTGCTCCACCGACCGGCCCCTTCCCCTGTCTCCCTCTCCTTGGGCCTGCCTGTTCCTTTTTTAGCAATAAAATATTTTTAAATTAAGGCATGTACATGTACATTTTTTAGACATAATGCTACTGTACACTTAATAGGCTACAATATAGTGTAAACATAAATTGTATGTTCACTGGGAAACAAATAAAATTGTGTGGCTCACTTTTATCGTGATATTTGCTTTGTTCCTGTCATCTGGAACTGAATCATCAGTATCTCTGTGGTATGCCTGTATGCCAGCAATCAAACCTAAAAATTATCTTTTGTTTTTGTTTGGTAAAAGTTCACGTGTTCTTATTTTTATATTAATGGTCTAGTGCAGGACTGTTTGTTCCCAGAAGACATTCAGAGCAGTGATGAATTAGGCCTGGTGATGATGGGACAGAAACAAATGCCTAGACTTCAGACTTTTAAGTTGTATATGTTATTTTGGTTTGACCATAACCAGGTCATCAAGTTCGCTTACTGGATAATCCGGTTTTGCTTCCCTGAGACAGGATGTGCAGATGTTATGGTTGTAACTAGATGTAAATAGTTTTAATATGTGGATTTTTTTCTATTTAATAACAAATTTCTACTAAATTTAATAACAAATTCGTGTGAAGTTCATTTTGAAACAAAGTAATATATAAGCAAATATTTGAGGAAATTCAGATTTGTTTTTGGTAAAGTGTTTCATATAAATTTGCTATTAAAATTTTCTTCATGTTTTCATAATAATTACAATGTAGGGAAAAATAATAACAAAAGTCAGTTTTAATAACATTTCTTTGATTCTTCCAGGAAGTGGAAAAGCAGTGTCGCTGTGGCAAACACACAAGACGAATGCCATGTCATAAAACTTATCTTTGTGAAACTAAGTGCGTTAAGATGCGTGACTGTCAGAAGCATCAATGTAGGAGAAAGGTATGTGTGATAAGCTTGGGAGACTCTGATTTAAAGACTGTCTTGAATTTTTCCTTTGTGGGCCCTTATGCCATCTTGACTCGTTCCTCAAATATTCAGGCGTATTCTTTGCTTTCCATATAAAATATTAATAAATATTCTAGATTAACCCTAATCATCTGTATTAGTGGGAAGTCATACCAGTTTTTTAAACAGGAAAAGTTTCTTGTTGTCTTATTCATTGTCCTCTCAGCTTGATTCTCGGGCTATTTCTGATCCCTGACTTTAAAACATCATTAGCATTGTTAATTAGAGTAATAATTCCTTTGGTGGTAGAGATGAAATTCTGTTGTTCAAATATTGTTCAAGTTGACACTGGATTAGTATAAAGTTGACTGGAGTATCGAGTCTGTGGGTTTGTAGTTCTTTTGATTTCCTTTTATCATTATAAAATAATCCCTCTATCTCTGATAGTAAGATTTCCTTGTTTTTAAATCTATTGAAATAGAGTGATTTTACTGTTCTCTTGCTTAGTGTTAACATGGTATATCTTTTTCTCTATCCTTTTTGTTTTAACTTATTTGTATCTTTATATTTAAAGAGCATTTCTTATAGACAGCATTTAAATTTTATTTAGTTTATCCAAGTTGATTATCTTTGTTGTTTAAGTCAGATATCGACCGTTTACATTTAACGTGATCTTTAATATGGTTAGATTTAAGTCTGCCATCTTACTTTTTATTTTCTATTGCCCATCTGTTCTTTTCTCTCTTTTTCTGTTTTTTCTTTGAATGTTGTTTTTCAATGATTCTGTTTGTTGGCTTATTAGTTATATCTCCTTTTTCACTTTTTTTATGGGTAGGAGATTGCTTTAGGCTTTATAGTCTTTAAGAACCTTATAATAGTATATTTTATTTCCTATCACCCAAACTAAAATGTATGATGTTCAGACATTTTATACTCATGTATTTTATAAACCCCAAATACATTGTTTTTATATTTGCTTTAAACAGTGATCTTTTCAAGAGTTTGAAAAAATAAGAAAAAGTAATCTTTGATATTTATTATCATACTTAGTTTTGGTGCTTTTCATCCTTTTGGATAGATTCACTTTTCTATCTGGTTTCATTTGCTTTCTATCCTGAAGGATTACCTTTAGCATTACTTGTAGTGCTGGTCATGAATTTTTTCAGCTTTTCATGTCTGAAAATTCCTTTCTTTTAGCTTTCATTTGTGAAAAATATTTTTACTGTAGAATTTTAGCTTGGCAGTTTGTTCCCCCATATTTTAAAGGTATTGCTCCACTATCTTTTAGCTTGCATTTTTCCCAACAAGTAGTATACTGTGATTTTTATCTTTGTTCCTCCTTCCTCCATAGTTATTGTATCTCTTTTTTCTGGTTAGTTATTAAGATCTTTCTCTTTGTCATAAGTTTTCAACAATTTGTTTCTGGTATTTGTTGGTATAGTGTTTTTCATGTTTCTTAACTTTTTTTTGTTGTTGACCTTCTTGGATCTGTAAGTTTATAGTTTTCTTCGTATTTGTTAAAGTTTTGATCTTTATTTTTTCGGATTTTTTTTTTTTTGTTTTCCCCTACCCATTAGCTTCTGACACTTTGATGACATGTATAATACACTGCTTGAAGTCCCAAGCTCACTGATGCTCTATTTATTTTTTAGTCTTTTTAATTTCTGTTTTATTTTAGATAGTTTATCTTCAAGTTCACTAATTTTCTTCTGCATTGTTTAATTTGCTTTTTATTCCATACTGTGTTTTTCATCTTAGATATTGTATATTTTCATCTTTAAAAGTTGGATTTGGGTCTTTTAAAAATATCTTTCATGTTTCTCCTTAGCATGCTCATACTTTCCTCTATCTTCTTGAATGTAGAATGAGCTATATTTATAATGTCTGTTTTAATATCCTTGTCTACTAATTCTGTCATCTCTCATTTCTGGGTCTGTTTCTGCTTATTGATTTTTTTTTGACTCCTTTGAAGTTATATTTTCCTGCATCTTGGCCTGCTGGGTAGTTTTTATTGATTTCTAGACATTATGAACTTTACGTTTTTGGTTACTTGGTTCTTTCTCTTTTGTGTGTGTTCCTAATTTTTAGGCCTTGTTCTGGGACAAAGTTGAGTTACTCAAAAACCTTTTGGTCCTTTAGAACTGTGGTCCCCAACCCCCAGGCCATGGACCAGCCTGCAGAGCTTTACCACCCACCCCTCAACCATCTGTGGAAAAATTGTCTTCCACGAAACTTAGGAAACGGGGGTGGCCGGGAGTTGGGGATGGGGGTGGGGTGGCTCCACAGCAGGAGGTGAGTGGTGGGTCAGCAACCAAAGCTTCATCTGTATTTACAGCCACTCACCATTGCTTGCATCACCATCACCACCCCCAGTCCCCCATCTGTGGAAGAATTGTCTTCCATGAAACTGGTTGCTGGTGCCAAAAAGGTTGGGGACCACTGCTGACCAGAGAACCCTTTTGTCTAGGGCTAACTTGGTCCCAGTACCGAGGCAATAACTCTTTTAAGTACTCTTCTTGTTGTCTGTGTATTAGGACATCTTTCTACTCTGGCTGTAAGGAACATAAACTATTCCCAGCATTATATAATCTCTGGAAGTTATTCTACCTTCTCCTTTCAGTGGTTCTTTGTCAAGTTTTGGGTAGTTGCCTCTCATTCATCTACTGGCCGTTACTTAGCCAAAGGCCCAAGGGATCCCTTCTGGACTTTTCCAGAGCTTTCTCTGTACTACTGCCTTCTCTCCACAAATTCTAGCCACACTAACCTCTTCGAACTATGAGTTTTGCCTACTCAACTTGGGGAGACTGCCACACTCTGCTTGTGCTACAGCCGAGTGCCATTGCAGGACTCACCTGGTTTGTTTCCCCTCCCTTAGGGATTGCTGTCTCATGCTGCCTAATTCTCTAATGTCTGAAAGCTGTAGCTTCATATCTTTTGTCTTCTTTTCTGGTTGTTTGAGATGGGAGGGTAAATCTGGTGGTTGTTACTCCATTATGGTCAGATACAGAATTGTCCCTAGGCTTGTTCAAGTCACGAACCACGTAACCTTTCCCCCCACTGCCACTGGCAAGGTGGTAGGTCCACAGTGTTACTCAGTGTATGTTTGTCATTGAATGAACTATTTTGTCTTTTAATTGCTTTTCAATAATGCATATTTTGTTTTGAGCTGTTTTTATATTCTGTTACTTATTAAGTTACAACCCTAAGTTTCTTTAAGTCAATTGTCTGTATTTCCTTTCCAAAAGTTAGGGTATGTAAGAAGTCAAAGAAGTAGTAAGAATGACAATATAGACTTTTAAGTAGTTTCCTGGGTTTCATAAATGAAAAATTAGGGTAGGTCATAGATAGCTATATTTTTCGCAGACAGATTAGAAATCAGGGAAGTGACAAAATAAAGAAAGCTGGGTGCAAGTAGCCTATCTCTGCTTTTCTTTAGTTAGTCTCTGCTCTTATGGTTGAAAATAACTGCCAAATTAATCTATACATTGAAATGATTTTATTTTAATTAAATTAAAAAAATGGCCAGACTAGTTGTTTGCCTGAATTGACTATCTATAGCATTTGATTAGATCCATTCCTTTGGTTAATGTTGTCAATCTCTGTACAGATAAGTAAATGAAATTTTCTGATGGAAATGTTTTGTGTTGTAGAATAATTAACTGAAGGGCAAGGAAATTTAGTTTGATTTTGTTAAATTAGATCATTCTCTATTTAAATTTGTATGTTCTTAATACAGTGTATCTACTTACCAGAAGAATGTTGATACTCTTGAATACTTTCATTCTTATAGTATCTTTTGCTTTCCATAGCTTCTGTACCTAGTAATGACGTTCATATTATTCACGGGTTTTCGAATTACCTGTTCTTTATATATTGCTTTCTCTTCAGTGTTGCCCTGGAAACTGTCCACCTTGTGATCAAAACTGTGGACGGACTTTAGGATGTAGAAACCATAAGTGTCCATCTGTCTGCCACAGAGGTAAACTTTAACAATAGCTGTAATTTTGTGTTTATATTTACATAGTGCTTTATAGTCAATAGAGAGCTTTTACCTTCATTATCTTACTTGACTCTCTTAACAACCTTAAAGAAGAAGGTAGGACAGTTGTCAGTACCCCTATTTTATGGGCAAAGAGATTGAAGCTACAGGGGGTTCAGTGACTTAGTCAAGGAAATAACTAGTACATTTGACCCCAGGATTTCTGAATATAAAGATTTTGTCCTTTCTCTAACACCATGTTATTGTTCCCTTACTTCCTCCCAATCTTCCCCACACAGTTTTTTAATTAAGATGTTCATAGCTTTTTCAGTTTTATTCTGAATTTTATACATTTATATGGAATTAATCCAGTAAGGGATTAGATATATCCTAATCCAATGGTTCTCAAACATTTTGGTCTTATGACCCTTTTAGTCCCCCAGAGAGCTTTTGTTAATGTGGATTTTATCCATTGACATTTATTGTGTTTGAAATTAAAATAAAATATTATTTAAAAATAGCAATAATAAGCCCATTATATCTTAAGTCACGTATTTTTGTGAAAAATATTTTCTGAAAAATTGGTGAGAATGATACTGTTTTACAGTCTTACAAATGTCTTTAATATCCAGCTTAATAGAACATAGCTTGATTCACGTATCTGCTTCTGCATTCGATCTGTTGTGGTATTACTTGTCACTAGCTTTTGGAAAACGCAATGCATGTGAGACCTGGTGGACCTCCTGTAAAGGTCTCAGGGACTCCTGGGTTTCCCAGACCACACACTTTGAGCATTGTGTTCTAAGTTATTACTAGACATTGAAAACTGAGTTAACTTTTTTTTTTTTTTTTTACCCGTTTGGAGTATGTTGATATGAAATGGAATCTACTGAGACTTGGTATAGGCCATTGTAAAGACCATGGCCTTAGAATAAGAGGTACTGGGTTTAAGTCTGGACTCTACCACTTAGTAGCTTAATACCTGGGGCAAACTACTGAACCGTTTTTATTGTCTTCCTTTGGGATTGATGGGTGCTAGATAACTCAGTTGATGTCTTAATCTTTTCAGAAATCCTGCAAGGTATTTGAAACTACTGTTATTGTATGTGAGGAAATAGGCCAAGAGACTGTCGGCCCAAGGTTATAGAACTAGTTGCAGCGCCAGGATGTGAACCCAAAGTTTAGGATATTTCCATTAGGAAAAGTGTCAGATTCTATTTACCCTGTAGATATTTTCCTATGGATGTTTTCTAATTTGTCAGCGTCTTTAAATTGTGAAATTTAGAACTAGTTTTCCAGGTATGTTCTCATCATCACTAGAAGGATTTTGTTTAATATTTCCTTTTATAGTCACGTTACATGACTGACTCCCATAGAGTTTAAATTTCGTTAAAATTCTACCATCAGTCATTAATTCATTTGCAAAGTATTTTTAGGTGTCTGTTAAGTGCCAGGTACTGGAATTATGTGAGTGAACAAAATTGATAAAGTCCCTGCTCTCAGGGAGCTTATTTGTTTGGACTCCCCCTCCCAAGTAGAATACAAATAAATAATTAGAGTAATATAGGATATCAGGTACTGGCAAGAATTACAAGAAAATTACAGTGAAACTAAAATTGCGATGGCGGGGGTGGCATATACTCTTCTATACACTGTGACCAGGGGAGGAATCTGAAAAGATTATATTTGAGAGGAGGCCTGAAAGAAGGAAGGGATCAAGCCATGTAGAAATGGAGGTAGGGTAATTAATGTTTTAGAAAAGAAAACAGTGATTGCAAAGGCCCAAGACAGGAGCGTTTGAAGCAATAGCAAGGCCGGTGTGACTGAGGTAGCGTGCTCAAGCGGACAGGTGGTAGGGCATGAGGTCAAAGAGAAGGTGAGATAAAGGATTCCTGGGGGAAGGAGACTGTGTATAGGGGCTTGTAGACCACTGTTAAGATACTGGCCTTTGCATAGGAAACTTGACTAGTTGGATGACCATTAAAGAAATTGGATCAGTAGTTTAAAATTTTTTCACTAACAAACACCAGACCTACTTGACTTTTACACATGATTTCTAACAAACATTTGTGGTACATACGAATTCAATCTTCCATAAACTATTTAAAGGTACATGTAAAGAAAGAACATGCCCAGCTCATTGTAACATCCGACAAGGAGAGTAAGAGAAAATTACAGGCTAGTCTAATAACTCAAGAACTTGTTTGGAATAGTATTAAAGTTTTAGCTACTCAAATCCAGCTTTCCATTACTATAGCATTATGTATTACCTATCCACATTTTTAATCTATTGTAACCAAGTCGGGTTTATTCCAATAATGTATGGCTGGTTTAATATTAGTTAATCTAATGTTAATGTGGTCTACCACATTAAGAGATTAAAGGAGAAATGAGATCATATTGGTAAACATCTTAAAAATGGCTGATACAATCCAACATCCATATATGATAAAAACTGAACTGTGAATAGAAGGGGAATATCCTTAACCTGATAAAGAGTATCTGCAAAAAGTCTAGAGCAAACATCATACTTAACGGAGAATTGTTGAAAGCATCTCCCCTCTTGTATTATTTTGAAGCAAGTCCCATAAATGTCTCAGTATTTATCTCTAAAAGATGAATTCTTAACCTAAAAATAGCTAACATACTTCTTCATATCAGCAAATAATCTGGTGTTCAAATTTCTTGTTGTCTTGTAAGTAACTTCATTTTTTACTTCAGTTTCTTTGACTCAAAAACCTAACAAGATGGACATGTTGTAATTGGTTATGTCTCTAAAGTCTTTTAATTTGTCATTTCTCTCCTCCATCTACTTTTAATTTTCTCTTATGACTTATTTGTTGAAGAAACTAGGTTGCTTTAGTTTTTCAGAGTCTGAATTTTGCAGATTGCATCTCTGTGTTATTATTTAACGTGTTCCTGTGTCCTCTGCATTTCCTATACCTTGTTAATTGGATCTGGAGGTTTGATTAGATTTGGGTTTGATTTTTTTTTTTTTTTAAGTGCTTATTATCCTCCAGAAGAGCCCCTAGCAAAATTTTCCCTGTTGTAAGGTATGTGGAAGATGATGATGTGCAACTCTCACCATTTGTCTAACCCACAGTTACGTAGGAATGTGAAATCATTTCATGCCATTTTCCATCATTCTAGACTCCTTCATAATTAAAGTGATACTGTAATTCATAGGGAGAGGATACTAACTGTATGTTTGCATTGCGAATATATGAAAATTGATGTATAGTTTTTTTAAGTTCAAAATCATCTGTGTTTATGGTTTTGGAATTGCCGGATTCATGACTATTTCAGCTGTTGACCCTCTGATCAGTATAGTTACAGTTCGTATGCTGTGTTTTTTTTGTTTCATTTTGAAAGTATTATTACTGAAGCTGTTTTAATTAATATCTCTCATGTTGTATAGGTATCTATAACAAATTCTATTTGTCAGTGGGAAGACTGTTTAGAGAAATTATCCCTTATTCTCAAGATTTAATTTTTTAAAAAGTGATGCTGTAGTTTAAAGTAGCAAAAAGGGTTATATTTGATAAGTTCCTCTTTGAATTGCTGAAATGAATAAAAAATTATCATTGTTAAGTGTAGAAATTGATACGATAAGCTGAATGAGAACAGACTTAAATGTCAGTATTAACTTGAGAAATGTAACATCTAGTCATTCTTTTGAAAAGATCAAAATAAGACTTGATCATGTGAGTTAGGATAACTGGGCTTATATTACCATCAAGATAATGCTTCACTGGATTATACTTATCAAAACACTAAAGTATAAATTTGGTAATTTTGTTCAATAGATATGACTTTCCCTGTGATGCTTTTACTCTCATTTTCTCTTTTTCTATGTTCGTTATTTGAATCATAATTCTTAATTCGTATTTGTTTTAAGAAACTATTTTGAACTTCCAGAGGTATTTAAATAAGGCTGTTTTCCATCATTAATCTTTTCTTATTAGGTTTAACTGCTAGGCAGTATTTTGCTTGGTCCTGACACCTAACCAGCAGTCTCTTTAAACTATCCACTTCTTAGTCGAAAACTCTTATTCCCTCCTTATTATTTTACTTCAAATGGAGTTCCTTAGTGGGAGAACTAGAGTGGGAAGAAAGCCCTTACCATGACGACAGAGCCTCTTGGGGAGAACTTACTAGCCTGGAAAAGGTTTCTTTCATTTCACTTTTGTATATTTCTACCAGTCCCTAAGGAAAGAAGATAAAAAGCTGAAACGCAAATAACTTTTCTTTTTGAATGTTATAAGAAGACATAGTTGGAATTATAGTCTAAAATGGAGGTTTAGCATTTAGTCTTTCATAAAGCACAAATAGTGGAAAGTTGACTATACTTGTAAATAACCAACATAAGGTCATGAGAGAGAAGTTATTGGGGAATTTGTCTAAAAATAGTGTACTTGGAGAGAAGGATATATGAAAATAGGCCAAAACAATTATTGTTAGATTTTCCAAAGACTTAAATACAGTTTTGTTGTAGTTATAAATGAGTAATGAGTTAAATTTGTTATTTAGAACAGAAATTTTAGCAAATTTTAAACAAATGTCTAAAACTTTATTGAAGTACCAGTATACATATATACGTACAAATCGTAAGTGTACAGCTTGTTGAATTTTTACAAACTGAACATAACCATATAAACAGAACTTACATCATTAAACAGAATGTTACCAGCATTTCTGAAACCCTCCTTGTATCTTTCATAACCATCATTCTGAGTTTGAATAGTATAGATTAGTTTTTCATATTTACTTTATGATAGTGGTATCATGTACTATGTACTCTTTATGTGTGGCTTCTTTTGCTCAATGTTATATGATGAGATTCATTCATATTATTATAGTTTCTTCATTCGTATTGTAAAGTATCTTATTGTGAGCATATACTAAATTTAGTGGTTTTACCATTGATGGGCATTTGGGTAATCAAGGAAACTTCTTTTTAAGTGTCAAATTTTTTTTTTTCAGGCAGTTGCTATCCCTGCCCAGAAACTGTAGATGTGAAGTGTAATTGTGGTAATACAAAGGTGACAGTACCCTGTGGCCGAGAACGTACCACAAGACCACCCAAGTGCAAAGAGCTTTGCAGGTTAGTATGAAGCTTTGCACAGGCTCACATCGGTGTTTTACAAATATAAATTCATATTGACTTGTAATATTGTTAGTATTTTAATTTTGCTTTGGTGTTTTATTTATTTATTTATTTTTTTTGAGAGAGAGTCTCACTCTGTTGCCTGGGCTAGAGTGCCGTGGCGTCAGCTTAGCTCACAGCAACCTCAAACTCCTGGGCTCAAGCAATCCTCCTGCCTCAGCCTCCCGAGTAGCTGGGACTACAGGCACGCGCCACCATGCCTGGCTAATTTTTTTTTTCTATATGTATATTTTAATTGTCCAGATAATTTCTTTCTATTTTTAGTAGAGATGAGGTCTCGCTCTTGCTCAGGCTGGTCTCAAACTCCTGAGCTCAAACGATCCACCCGCCTCAGCCTCCCAGAGTGCTAGGATTACAGGTGTGAGCCGCTGCGACCGGGCAGCTTTGGTGTTTTAAAATATTAATATTCACAGTATGCTCATTTTATATGGAATCAGGAGATATTTAATAGAGAATTATACTTTAGATGTAATTGTTTAATGATCAGAGTTACTTATAAAAAATTGTACGTTACAATTTAGTCGACCATCAACTTGTCATCATTCAAGTCAAGAAAAACATCGCTGTCACTTTGGCTCCTGTCCACCATGTCATCAACCTTGCCAAAAAGTTTTGGAGAAATGTGGTCACTTGTGTCCTGTTCCGTGTCATGATCAAGCATTAATAAAGCAGACTGGCAGGGTAAGGGAACAATGTTATTAAAGAAATAGTGCATTGCTGTGGGTTATACTTTCTTGATTTTACTTAGTCATTCAACAAGCAATGATTAAGCACTTACTGGATATTGAGCATTGTGCATGGAGCTGGGGAAAAGGTAAATAAGATTTGGTCTTTTGGCTTAAACTCACAGTATAGAAAAGGAGAAAAATCAATAAATAAACGTTTGCAAATGCAGTGTGATATAGATAAATTTGGCAGTCCTCCTTCATATATTGTGGTTTAGGGTTATAGATAATCTCCTATAACCCTATGTTAAAGATTTATTCTGTATTCAATGAATATTTATTGAACCCTTACTATGTATCAGGCATTCATCTAGGTGCTGGGAAAAAACTGAGCAAAATAATGGAGATTACATTGAACTGATGTTGGATGTTCTGTTTTTCATTCTCCTTATGGGAAGTGAAGGAGGCTACACTTCCCTTGTTCTGCCATTTAAAAACTGGAGTCTGCCTCAATTATTAATATTAAATGTGTGTGGAGGGGAACAGTCTGATAGAATACAGATGGAATAAAATATTTCAGTAAACACAATTTATTATTTGAAAAAGTTCAACCTGCTTGGGCAGAAGATACATAGAACTATTTTCTTAGATTCTTAAAATGGCCATGTGATTTAATCGCTCTGACTTAAAATGCTTATGTATTTTACTTGCAGCACCAACCTACAGTCCCTTGGGAACAGCCTTCTGAGCCCACGTTTGTTCAGACTGCATTACCCTGTCCTCCGTGTCTAGTTCCTATTCCTATGTAAGTATCAGAATTTTAACTTTTTAAAAAGATATCTTTTAACAGAATTCAAAGTATATCTAAAGTCAACCTCTCCCTTTTTTCTTAATTCGTTATTATTTCTGGACTAGCCTATCTAGTGTCTCTGTTTCATTCTTTTCCAAATATATTTGCCATGCTGCTTATAAACCTTCTATAGATACCTTTTTTTGAGTCTTTTCTCCTAGCTGGAATTTGATATTCTTCTTAGCTTTCCATAGCAGCTTGTGCTTACAGTTACAAAAACACATCCAAGAAATTCATCATTTGTTAGTTTTCTTGATCGTTCCCATGCTGGGGTGTAGGCTCCCTGAGGACAGGAAAGCCAGGTTTTAGATAAAGCAAACTTGAAGGAGAGTGTTTAAAGGAAACATTGGAAATGGAAGGTAGCAGTTTTCTGGGTGGGCCAATGAATGATGGAGCTGAGCTGTGAGGGGTCAAACCCAAGGTAATAGGGAGTCCTGGAATGTTTTCCACCCTCGGCGGAGGTTATGGAATATAGGGGAAAAGAAGCACAGAATGCTCAGAAGCAACGTCACATTAGAAGAGGGGCTGTTGTTAACAACTAAGGTTCCAAATCGAACCAGTGTATTTCTTGTGTATTGGTCTTTTTAAAGAGAGGATTCTCATTTTTCTTCCGAAAGCTTCCATTTCCATTTTTCCCTTCCTCCGAGTTGAAATAGCATGTATTTTTATATATATTGGTCATGTAGTCAAGTTGGGAGGCAAAGTGTTTTTGGGAGCTATATTCACAAATAGGATAATTTTAGTCTGTAAATTTAGTGGAGGGAGGCTGTATAGTTAGCACAGAGTCCATGTGGGTGCTTAATTATTTGAGACTGTTCTTATATTAAGGAATAATATGATATCATGAGGAACCAACTTGTTTATAATATCTCTTACTCAGTTAAAGTTATTAGTGGCATAAAATTTTCCTTTGAGGGAAACAGAAGAGACATTGATATTATAATTCATAGGCACTAAAATCTCATATATACAGTAGCTAATTTCCTTAATCTGTCTTAGCGGAAGATTATTTAACACACATGTCTATCTTATTCAATTAATTTGCTTGAAATCTTAGGTTGGA